TACATGTGGTATAATGTATACTAAATAGAGATAAAGTTTGGAAAGTTGTTAAATTTTAAATAAGAGCTAATAAAATTTAAGGGTTGTCTTGATCAGTGTGAAACATAATGGAAGTAACTTATAAATAAAACCAGAAAAGTATAAGGGAAAATGTTTCCGATATGAAAAGCTTTCCTTATCGCTAAGGTACTTATGTATTACAGTTTTAGTATTCCAAGTTATTTCACTTACCTGATTTTCTATTCATGGGTTCCACTACCAAAAAACATATGATTAGCGATGGAATTTAGCTACGGAATTTTTATTTAGTGACAGATTAACGACGGAATCATATTAGTGAAGGAATTTGTTTCGTCACTAATTCTTCTGTCATTAATTGGATTAACCATGAAATTTCAATTCTGTGGCTAACTACCGATAGAATTAGTGACGAAATTTTTCCGTCTCTAATTACCAACAGAATTTTCATCGGTAATTTGCAACGGATAATTTCTGTCACTAATTCTGTCAGTAATTAATATATTTTTTAAAAAAATTAAAATGCCATGTCACACCTCTACCAGCTGCCACCTCACCTCCGTTGCCATGTGTCACCACCTCATCTCCATGTGTCGCTGCCACCTCACATGCCATCTTGTATCAAGACGTGTCGCCACCGTATAACTCCTCCTCAAAGTGACTTCTCCACGGCTCGAACCAAGGACCTCGTTTGTGCACGCACGTGACTTCACCAGTTGAGCTGTAATTAACTTGCCAACTTATTATGCAAAATTAAATATATATATATAATATTCTCTTACACAAACAATTATATATACACACATATATTATTAGAAACTAAAAATAAATTATATGATAATTTTAATCATAACTATTTTTATGACAAAATAATTTTTAGATAGTTTTTTTACTATTTATTTTATAATGCTTTATTTTAAAAAAATATTTTTAATATAATATTAATTTCCAATGACATTAATTTTGAATTTTAAATCGTAAATAATTTTTTCAAAAAATAGCTACCATAATAAAATATAATAGATTATTCTATCTAAAAAAATTTAATAATTTTAATTATAAAATTTTAGCCACCGAATTAGTGACAGAAATTTCTAACTGAAAAAAATTCCATGGCTAATTTTAGTTTAGCCATGAAAATTAGTGACGGAATAATTTTCCGTTGCTAAATTAGCAATGAAAAATTATTCCGTGACAGATTTTAATTATAAAATTTTAGCCTTAGAATTAGCCACGGAACGGAAATTTCTGACGGAAAAAATTCTGTGGCTAATTCCATGACTAATTTTAATTATACAATTTTAGGCACAAAATTAGTCACGGAAATTTCTGACAGAAAAAATTTGGTCACTAATTCTGTGGCTAAATTTAGTGACGGAATAATTTTCATCACTAATTCTGTCGGTAATTAGCTGTTTTTTTTATAGTGTTACAACGATATTCCAAAGAGCTTGATTTACATACAGATCGATATTTTTCTTCGCATTTGAAACTGACAATGTTTTTTTTATACATACCATCAAAATTAAAAAAGAAATGAATCTGGACTTTAACCTAAAATTTAGTGGAGGACCCCGCAGAAGAAAACAAAGTGAAAGAAAGTCTTATTGGCATGAATAGTGCAAAAATAGAACCAAGTGCGAAGACAAGACGGAGCCAATTAGCAGCGACTTGGATCAATTATTGGCTATCACAAGTTCGTCAGACATAAAAGAGCAATACAAAGAAAACTCGCACTATCAAAAAAATAACTTTAGGCGACGAATTTCAACAGTGACAAAAAAAATTGCCACCAAAAGTTGACTTTCAGTGGTGACACTAGAAAATCACCACTCAAAGTATAACTTTTAGTGGCAACAAAAATGTCGTTGTTAAAAGTCAACTTTCTGCGGTGACCTTTTTTTGTTATCACTGAAAGTATCTTTTAGCGAAAGCATACCTTTTAGCGGCGACACAAAAAGTTGTCATTAAATGTGAGACCTTCAGTGGTGACATTTTCCGTCATCACTGAAGGCTTCACTTTCAGTGGCGACTTTCTAGGGTTGCTGCTGAAAGTAGACTTTAAGTAGTGACTATTAGTATCGCCACTAAAAGTCTTTCGGTTCTCCATTCAGCCTTAGACTTTTAGCGGTGACTTCCAATATGATAATATATATTGTTTTATAATAGTAATAAAGCAAATTCAATTCAGCTCAATAGCAAGAAGATTGGACATGAAAGGAGGTGGTCACAAGTCCAAATCTTGAAGAAGACACATTTAAGGTGAAAATATTTAGGTAGTAATGTGGCGGCGAGGAGTGATGTGGAATGAGTCGTAATGTGGCAATGACATGGAGGTGGCTAGCGATGATGTGGCGGCCGGCCGTGAGGACGTGACGGTCGGCAGTGATGACATGGTGCTGATAGAGCCATTCAATAGCGACTTTTTGTTGCCGCTATTGAAAGTCAATTTTTTTGTAGTGTCAAGGATTATGAGCAGCTAAGTGGAGTAGTTGGATTTCCAAATAGAATTGATATTATAACGCTGAACCTAACTTTGCCATTTTGATTGCTCCACGATTGAAAAATGATGTCGGTGGCCTCAACAAAGCTTTTTTTGCCGAGCCCAAAGAGCTTGCGGTTCACCAGAGGGGTCAGACATGTCTCTCTTAAGGTTCATGCAACAAGGGTGCAAGTCAAGCTTGTGGCTGGAATATTGATCATCGTACAGAAACCCTTGAACGTCCCTGCCACAAACATCGCACAGACGGTGGTTCCGTCCACACCGGGAGGTTCCCGGAGAAATTGGGAGCGGGGTACTATTGAATTGATGGGTTATGGGTGACTCTGTGGGACGAGCCTTGAAACACAGTTTATGACGCACGAAGTGACAATTCTTTGAATGTTGGTACCTTGGACCAAACCCTAGTTCTATCTTGACACTTTTATCTCGTTCTTTTGATGGCAAGATTATATAGATACAGTGTTACTTACGGTCAACCTCAATTAGCTTCTTGAGCTATCTCTCTTTTCCTACTGTTCGTTGCTCCGTATTTTTTCTCAGTTTTTCAGTTTACTATTTAGTCAAATCACATATCTTTTATTAATGTATTACATGCCTTTTAATAAATAAATAAAAAGGTTATAATTCGGTGCCGTGTAGAGGATACCAACGAGTTTTTTTCTTCACAAATAAATATAGACCGCTGACATATCGACATGTGGGTTAGGGCATTGTCTGATTAAAGAAGCATTTGCTACCTATAGTCTCTATGGTTCTATCACGTGTAATCGAATACATTAATAAAAGAATTATATGCCACTTCTTAATTGATATATATGGTTGACAAGGGAATTATATATATACATATATGCGTCAGTCATTGTTTAGGCTCTAAATGGATAGAGCGGTTCTCAGTGAATTACTGAAAATAGTTATTAATACCCTTGATGACTTAATTATAATAAGGACCGCATATTTCTTCTGGTGTCTGATAATAAAAACTAGAGTGGTATAATTTTCTCAATAATATATGTTCAAAACTTAAATAAGAAAAGTGAGAGTTTCTTCGTAAACTGATTCTCTAGTCTGATAATGAGATTACGAAAATGAAATAATTGAAGCATTGAGTGATTATTGTGGCGCCCAGCCAGAAGAGAGAAGACTAGAGTAAATTATTATGGCAAAGTTTTAAGTAGTTGAATTGTAAAGAGAGCAATTAATAATTTTTCATTTTCGCGTAATTATAAGCGCAAAAGGAGTTTATAATTTTGTTTTCAACTTGAAAATTGTATGAAAAGATCTTTTTTAAAATTATAAAAATGCAGAGTGGTTGAGGATATTGGTAGGTCCATATATATTAATAAAGATCAAATGGGACTAATTAAAAGGGGAATGACAGATTAATAATAATCTACCCTTGAGAGAAACGAAAAGCCATTGAATGGGACAAATAATAGAGCAGGGGCCCAAATTTCCATGCTGGGGATGACTTGTGCGGGTGAAAGCACTTTTTCCCAACTTTTAAATAGTTATTTTAAAAAAGTTTCAAAATTATCTTTGATAAACGTTATTAATTGGAGGAGTATCGTTAATTAATTAAGAAGCTTTATTGTAAATATTATTAAATATACATGATGTCCTTATAACAAGGATTACAACTCAAAGGATATAATATATATGTATAAACTGAGTAAGGGGAAATGCCAGGAGGTTTCAATAGGGTTGGGGTTATTTCTTCAAGTATATTATTGGGAAAACATACTGATTGAAAACTGTACAGAATGAGTATAAACTTTCGGAAAAAAATATAAATATTTAATTAATTGTTTTGAATAACTTAGAAATTTACCAACGGTATGTTTGGATTAACTTGTTTTAAAGTGATTTTATGGCATAAGAGATAAATATGTGAAAGAGTTTGTGCTGATTTGCGTAAAAGAATTTTTATTTTTATTTTTAACGTCATTCCTGGTTGTTGGGTTTTATGAAAGATCGACCGTCAATGGATTTGGGTGGCTTAATACAGAAGATCAAGGTATGTTTTCCTCTATTTTCATTGCTGGCTGTAATTAAAAATGAAGAAAAGTTACATGCTTAGCCTTATATATTTACTATTTTTCATCCAATTGAATCAAGTTGATTTTAAAATGTTCACATTAGTAATAATAAGAATTTGTTGTAGAATAAATATTTTATAATCTGAGCGCAATATATATCAAATCCACAGTGATCGTGCATTTGAAATTTATAATCTGAAGCCATTTTATTTTTTCAAATGATATGTCACGATCTGATGAGCTGCAATTTGCAACCTCAAATCCAGGATATTTTGGCATCGAGAGCTCTATATTCAAAGACGAATGGATATTTCTTGTGAAAGCCCTCGCATTCGAAACTTAGAATGTTTTCTTCATGTATACAAAACCAGAATTAAAAAAGAATTCGAACTGGACATAAACCCAAAATTTAAAGTTGGAGGATCCCGTAAAAGAAAACAAAGTGAAATAAGGAAAATTTTATTAGCATAAACTCTGCAAAATGAAAGGAGAACCGAAGTGCCAAGATACAATACCTATTGGATCATCAGTTATTGGCTATCACAAGTCGGTCAGACATAAAAGACTAACAAACACATAACTCAAGGATCAGGAGCAATATAAAATCACCATTATATATATATCATAGTACTCTATCGGCAAGAGCATTGAACACTGGAACTGGATCTTCAGGCACCAATCGGTATGCTATTATGAAGCAGACAAATATTTTCACCAGTTTGATCAACTCTTCACGATTGGTAGTTGATATCCGCGGCCTCCACCAGGGTCCGTTTGGCAAGGCCACAGAGCTTGCGGCTGGTGTGGTCAACCCTCCATCACTTGGCACTCTCTTAATTCTCGAAGACGAGGAAGTAGTACTAATAGTAGAAGAAGAAGGAGAAGAAGAAGAGGAAGAAGACGAGGAAGGAGAACCAACATTGAAATAGCCCCTTTCCCTGATTTCCAGAATCAATTTCTTCAGACAATCGACATGGTACCAATAGTTTCCACACGAGGACACGTAGGACCACCCACCTCCGACGTTTAGATCCTGTCTCTTGCAATTCACACACTGAGAGTTGGACGGCGCTTCGTTTCTAAGGTTCAGCTCCATCTTTTTATAGGGATGAGATATGGTGCTCCCAAGGTTCATGCAGGAAGGGTGCAAGTAAAGCCAGCTGGCATTCGATCGAGCACGGTACAGAAACCCGTGAACATTCCCCACGCAAGCGTGGCACAACCGGCGGTTGTTCGGTCCGACGGGAGCTGTCCAGAGGAATTTGAATCCGCGGTCACCCATGACTGGATGGGTTCTGAATCGGTCTTTAGGGTGAGCCTCGAAACATTCCTTGTGAAGGATATATTTGGCGCGACAATTCTTCTTTGCACATTCATACCTTGGACCAAACCCTTGTTCCTTGCATCCACTGCAATTAAATGTGTTTGTCTCTTCACGATTCAGCCTCAGGGAGTGGGGATGCTGTGGATGATCGCCCATTGTCTCTCCAGAATGACTTTCTATTTGTCTCCCATAAGCTTCTATGCCTTGAGACTTTCATCTGCAGATTTTCTTGAAGATCTTATGTTGTGTTATTTCTGGTCAACCTTCCCGTCTTGAGCTTATCTCTTTCTCCCTCTCCCTCTCTCTCCATAGTGTTCGTTCACATGTATTCATTCTTTTATTAATGTATTAATTATATGCTCCAAAAATACGATCTAACTCGGTGCCAAAGATGCCAACCAGTTTCTTTACATATAAATACATTTCTGATCTGTCATGGCTGATAGAATTGTATTGTAGGAAGCATTTGTACCTAGCTTTTGTGTGTGCGTGTGCGCGCCATATCTTAATCCATACATACATAGAGTTGAAAGAGAAAATATAAGAAGAAAGTTACTCGTAAGTTCCAACTAAAAACATTAATTAGCTCCTAAAGAATTCTTCTTCTTCTTTTCTTTTTTTTTTTTAAAACAAATTTCACTTGTGAAACGCATCTAGACTTGTAAATATGTAAGTGTGACTTATAAATATGAAATTTTTAAGACTTATCTGAATTTGATTTTCTTATTTGGAATCTATATGGATAATTTATATATATATATATATATATATATATAGGAAGAGCAGTGGTTGTGTAGGCTCTTATAGTACATTGATTGCGGCAAGGAATTAGGTTGACGAGTTGATGAACGTTTCTTAATCAAAGTAGGCTAATCTAATTAACAATCATGGTTAGGCTAGTTGAACTGAAATAAAAAATACACAAAATTATTAATATTACCTCCGATTCTAACTATAAGACCTATACACGAGAGTACACAACACATATTTACGTATATCAACCGGTTGCTCATAATACATAACTTATATAGTGCGCAGTAATGTGAAATTAAAAATTGTTTGATTAATACGATTAACGTGCTATTAGCCCTTTACGTACGGCAATATTTTCACAGATTCTGAGTTGATCAACTAACATTGATCTCACTTTACTGTTTTAGCTACACATGATTTGATGAAATGAATATATACACAGGACATGTTCCAACTTATGTTATTAATTATTTTTTTATTTTCTGTGTGTATTTGAATTTTGATGCTCCCAACAACATTTTCCCCCATTCACTTTTCTGTTGATTTCCACAATAAATACAGGAAGAAGATCAGTAGTGAAAAGGTAAAATATTATATACACTAATGCTTCATTATATCTCATTTTCTTTTCCTCTAAATTTATTTAAAAAATTACTTAAAAATAATCTAAAAGCATGAAATGAACTGAAAATCATGATGATATTACCCATTTACATACGATTGAATACTCACAAATCATATAAAAAAACGGCAGAAAATGCCATAAACCATAGACCATTACTTCCTTACGATGGTCTCATTAATTAGCCACCTTTCCATATTTGTAAATTATTCATAAAAGTCTACTTAAAAATTTTATATTTTCAGGATTAGGTTGTTCAATAAAATTTTATTGGAGAATCAAATATCGATGGCATCTAGGAGAAAGTGACTATATAATTATTAGTCACCCACGTTGGAATTGCTTAGACAAAAGGGAGATAAAAGAGTCAGGTTAGTCAAATAGAGTACAATTTTTTTTGGGCCAGGAGTCAGTCAATTATAATTTAATTATGATTCTTTATTTTTAGCTCCCCTGCGTTATTCTCTTACCTGCCGTTCAAATGATATATTGATTAAAGTTGCATCAATTATCGACCTTGTCCTTAAAATTTAATAACAAGAAGTTTGTCTTAATTATCGATTTGGCCCCACAAGTTTTCCTCGACGTCTAATTAAAACAATTGAAGGCAAACGGGATTATGATATATAGAAGACTTACTAAAGAAATAGATGCACGATGATAGAAAAACAACTTAATTTTACCTCCAAGAATCATCAACTTAAACAACTTTCATTAGATCATTAAACTTTTAGCCCCCAATGTTTTTATATTTTAGTTTAATATTTAATCAATTCACATGTTCAATCTTTTATAATGCACTTTGCAAATTTTAAAAATACATTATAATTCGGTGCGACTAATATATCGGTCTTTGTTTAGGCTATCTTTCCAAAGCAGCCACCCAAAACCCTGGTTTGCGCCGGCTTGTAACTCGAGAGCCCTTGACTCAGGGGGCTGGTTTGCCCTCTCGAGATTTGAGCCAAGGCAATTTCAATGCAAGATTCCACATCTATATTAAGCTACAGTGTTCCTAGCTGATAGATAAATGATGCTATTTATTGTAGATTTTATCCCTAATATAAGAATTAGTTTGATTTTTAATTTGGTCATAAATATAAAACTCTAATATACTTTATCTCTCATATTTATTCATTTTTTCTCAAGATAATGTTGTAGTAATTACATATGTTAAATATTTCACCAAATGTCAATGGTAATACAACTAATTAGCAAGAGTACTTTAGGAAAAGCAACACTTATTTATTACAAATAATTAATTTAATAAATTTTCTTAATCTACTCAAATGAATCAATTAGTTTTTATATTAAGGATCAAAGGTAGTATTATATGTAATGTTCCTAATCTCTTTTCAAGGTACTTGTGTATTACAGTTTTAGTATTTTTTTTAAAGTTATTTCATTTATCCGATTTGCTATTTATGGATTCCAACTATGTTCCTAAGGGCTCGATCTATGTACACTACAAGAAAAAGACTTTAGGCGACAACTTTATACGACGACAAAAAAAGTCGCCACTGAAAGTCCACTTTTAGCGACGACACCAAAAAGTCGCCGCTAAAACTAAGACTTTCAGTGGCAACACCAAAAAGTCGTCACTAAAACTAAGACTTTCAGTGGCAACACCAAAAAGTCGTTGCTAAAACTAAGACTTTCAGCGGTGACTTTTTTTGTCGCTGCTGAAAGTTCGTGGCTGAAACTAAGACTTTCAGTAGCGACAAAAGTGTCGCCGTTGAAAGTTTGCCCCTGAAACTAAGACTTTCAGTTGTAACAAAATGACTTTCAGCGGTGACTTTTTTTGTCGCCGCTGAAAGTATACCTTTGAGAATCATTAGATTCACTTTCAGCGGCGACATTCTATGGTCGTCTCTGAAAAAAGACTTTTAGTGGTGACATTCTATGGTCACAGCTAAAATGGTTGCCGCTAAAAGTAGACTTTCAGCGACGACTATCAGTGTCACCGCTGAAGGTTTGACTTTCAGCGACGACTTTATTATGTCACTGCTGAAAGTGTAATATAATAATATATATTTTATTTTACAATATTAACAAACAAATTCAATCTGGCTCAGCGGCAAGAAAATTGGACATGAAAGGAGGTGGTCACGAGTTCAAACCTTGAAGAAGACACATTTAAGGTGAAAATATTTGGATGATGATGTGGCAGGGAGGAGTGATGTGGCAATGACGTGGAGGTGGCTAGTGATAATGCGGCAGCCGGTGACGATGATGTGGTGGCCGACGGTGATGATGTGGAGACCGGCGATGGTGATGTGGCGGCCGACGGTGATGATGTGGTATTGGTAAAGCCAATTCTTGTTAGGCATTAGTTTTAGCGGCAACTTTTTTGTCGCCACCGAAAGCGTTTTCAGCAGCGACAAATGTCACCGCCAAAAGTGTCTTCAGTGGCGACAAATGTTGCCGCTAAAACTTCTAGAAGTCACCGCTGAAAGTATCTTTCAGTAGTGACCTTTTTAGTTGCCGCTAAAAATTTTCAGCCACGCCTGCTACGGCAACGACTTTTTAGTGGCAAAAAGTTGCCGTTGAAAACTTTCAGCGATGACTTTTATCCTTTCAGCGGTGACTTTTTGTCGCCGCTGAAAGTCAATTTTTTTGTAGTGGTATGAACGTGAAAGCCTAGCATTTGGAAATTAGAATGTTTTTTCATATGTACAAAGTCAAAATTTAAAAAAAAAGAAATCAAACTGAAATTAAACCTGAAATTTAAAGGGGGAGTATCCGGCAAAAGAAAACACAGTGAAAGAAAGTTTCTTGGAAAAATTTTATTAAACCCTCACAGTAGACAATTAATATCCAATAACCCCACCAAAATTCCAAAATCTCACTACATTCTCAGACTAAAATAAAATTAAAATTTAAGAGTGAAAATACAATAGTATCCTTGCTTCTTTTTTTTTTTTTAAAAAAAAAGATTAATTGTTGCTGTAGCTCTGGTGCCAAATCCAGCTACCTGAGTATCTATGGTTGGAGCACCAACCACCAAAGGATTTTTTTTCAAATATAGTGGTCAAAGAGGATTTGAACTCATAATCTCTTGGCACACCAAAAAAATTGTGACCATCAAGTCAACCAATTCACTTAATCATATAATGCCATTGGAGGTTGGAGGTCCAACCATCAGGGCTCTGGTAGCTGGCGCCAGAGGTAGAAGCTCCAGCTAGTGACAATTAATTTTCTTAAAAAATTAAAAACAGGGGTATTAATGTCTTTTTAGACTTCAATTTTAATTTCATTTTAGTCTAAGGGAGTGCAGTGACATTTTAAAATTTTATGCAGGTGTTGGATATTAGAGGTCTATTGTGGAGATTTAACGAATTTTTCCCAAGTTTTATCAGCAAAAACAGTGCAAAAGTAGAAATCAAGTGCCAAGAGAACACGAAGCCCATTATATTAACAGACACTTGGACCAATCATTGGCTATATCACAAGTTCGTCAAGCATAGAAGAGCAATATCATATCAAAATCCCATTACAAACACACACACACACACACACACACACACACACACACACACACATATCATATTTAACTTACGGATCCAGCCTTTTAATCCAGTAGGTTCTGAATGAGATCAACAATGGAGCTGGATTTCCGAACACAACAGACATTATAACGCTGAAACCTATTTTCGCTAATTTGATCAACCCATGACTGAACCGTGCTGCCGGCGGCCTCGACGAGGCCCTTCTTGCCAAGGCCAAAGATGGAATCGAGCTTCGATCACTTTGCCTTACACTTCTACATCTTCTTATTGGTCTTGCAATCTCATCTCTGGACAAGGTTCTTCCTCTTGAAGAAGAAGAAGATGCCACATTATTGAAATAGCCCCTTTTCCACTTATTCAGAATCAATTTCTTCACGCAATAGACATGGTAGCAGTAGTTTCCACAAGAGGACACGTAAGACCACCCTCTCGCATTTCACACACTTGGAGGGCACTTTGTCCTTTAGAATCAGCTTCATCCTATGATAGGGATCAGAGATGGAGATCTTAAGGTTCATGCAACAAGGGTGCAAGTCTAGCTCGTGTTTATATTTATCATGATACACGAACCCTCGAACGTCCCTGCCGCAAGCATCGCACAGCCGGCGGTTCGGGCCACCGGCAGGTTTCCAGAGGAATTGAAATCTGCAGTGACCGGTATATGGATGGGTTCTGGACCGGTCTTGAGGATGAGCCTTGAAACACACCTCGTGAAGGACGACGTCATCACAGTTCTTGACACATTGGTACCTTGGGCCAAATCCTAGTTCTTTGCATCCAATGCACTCAAACGGGTTTGCTTCGTGACGTTTCAGCCTCATTGGGTGGCGATGCAATGGGTGATACATTGTCTCTCCAAAATCACTCTCTCTTTTCCGCCCCATAAGCTTCTTTCTCGACACATTATTTTCATTTGGTTCTTGATGAGCTTATCATATATATAGTGAATAGTGTTATTTCTGGTCAACCTTCTTTAGCCTATCTCTCCTTTCACACTGTTCGTTGTATCGATTCAAACATGCATGATTGGATTAGTTGAACCAAAAGATGATACACAATTTACCTTAAGTAATAAAATACGTCAAGTGTTGTTTTCTTAATGATATATTAACGTGTTTTAATTATATTACAGTTGCCCCAGTTTGTAATCCATGCGCGGGCTTTAACTCAGTGAGTTGGCTTTCCCATCTCGAGATTTGAGCCAAGGTTCCCGTCTCGCGGCTTCACAGAACAACGACGACCTTTGGCTCTTTTCAGGGGGAGGGCGCAACATGTCGCGGCTCTTCTGGCGCACAATGCCTGGTTGGAGACAAAAGCAATACAAAAAACAAATCAAAGGCAAAAATTAGGACTATATGTGTGTGTGTGTGTGTGTACTCCAGCATTTAGGATAGGAGAGTACATATTCGCCACCGTCAAATAATCTAAATATACACTGTCAATATCAATATATGGATTCAGAATATATGATAATTAGGGTTTTTTGGAGCTGTTTGGCTCAACTGACATCAAACACCTTAAGTCTTGACTTAAGTTAAGATGTTACAAATTCGACTTTCTATGAATATGGTGGGTGTGAGTTCTTTTCACTAGGATAAGGAAGCCAATATAGCAGTGGTTGTGGGGGCTCTTTACGCTGACTTTAACAAGGAAGGTTAATAACTGGACGCATGTTTTTTAATCAACGTAGGTTAAACTATTAACAATATTGGTTAGATTCGGTGAACGAGGGTTGAGTATCTAATGAAAAGGGACTAGTTTCTCATAATATAACAAACTAATTTTTGAATCATACTAGAAGAGGTGCTCATATTTAGTACTGATAGTCACTAGTAAAAAAATCTTATTTGCGACGAAATTTACCGATGGAATTTTTATTTAGCAACGGATTGGTGACGAATTAGCGATGAAATCATATGGCTGACGGAATTAGCGACAAAATTGGTTCCGTCGCTAATTTTTTCATCACTAATTGGATTACCCACGGAATTAGCGATGGAATCAAAATTCTGTCGGTAATTACCGACGGAATTAGTAACGGAATTAAAAAATTCCGTCACTAATTACTGATGGAATTTTTTCATCTCTAATTAGCGACGGAATTTCTATTCGGTCGCTAATAGATTTGTTAAAAAAAATTAAAATGCCACCTCACCTTGGCCGCCACATGTCACCACCTCATCTCTACATGTTGCTGCCACCTCACCTTCATTGCCACATGTCACGACCTCATCTCCACGTGTCCCTGCCACCTCACCTTTGCCGCCACATGTCGCTATCTCACATGCCACCTTGTATCACCACATGTCGCCACCATATAATTCCTCCTCAAAGTGACTTCTCCGTGGCTCGAACCAATTAAAGACCTCTTTTGTGCACGCGCACGACTTCACTAGTTGAGCTGCAATGAACTTACTGACTTATTATACAAAATTAAATATATATAATATTCTCTTACACAAATAATTATACATACACACATATATTATTAGAAACTAAAAATAAACTATATGATAATTTTAATCATAACTATTTTTGTAACAAAATAATTTTTAGATATTTGTTTTACTAATTATTTTATAGTCCTTTATTTTTTTAAAATTATTTTAAATATAATATTAATTTCCAATGACACTAATTTTAAATTTAAATGGTAAATAATTTTTTCATAAATATATTTTTTAAATTTAATTATTTTATTTAATATTCATAAGATATATAATTTAATTATATATTTATTATTATATTATATTATATTATATATTATATTTTAGCCACGGAATTAGCCACGGAAATGAGCGACGGAATAATTTTTCATTGGTAATTCCATGGCTAAATTAGCCACGAAAAAGTATTCTATCGCAAAATCATAATTATAAAATTTTAGCCACGGAATTAGTGAAGTTAACTTGCCCTTAATTTGTCGCTTTGGGGTTACTTCAAAAATTAACCGAATTAATGCAATATAGTGCACAATCCGGGTTGTTCACTTTGAGGAGCCGAAAATGAAATTAAACCCTAGTAAATAAATGCAAGTAACCTAAATTATAAAAAGGATTTTTGATTTGAGAATTTCTAATTAAACACCATGAATTAAATTGAAATTAAAATACTTTTTTTTAATGTAAAAATGATTAAAATGAATGAAGATTAAAGAAATGAAAATGAGACACACAAATAACACTGATAAAAATCAATCCTCCAATTCAACAACACAGGCAATCATCACTCTAAAAGATGTGGGAGTTAAAAACAATGAATTAAGAATTATAATTAAGCTTTTGATCCAACAACCGAGCCACCTCCAGTTGCCACAAAATATTTTTCTAAAATCCCAACTTACTAACTGCAACCAAAATAGTAAAATGGGATTAAGGATGCTAAAAACCAATGCTTAATTAAAACTCTTAAATCCAAAAGAACAGAATTAAAGCTAACAAGAGACAATATGATCCAAAATTCTAAGCCACCTTAGAAAATCACAATATATTAACTCCAAAATCAATACAAATGTCATAACCACAACATTATAATTGAAATCAAAACTATAAACAGCTCAATGTCAAATACTAAGCAATAATTCAGTCACAATAATCTCCAAATATAATCAGATTAAGCAATACAATTATCCCAACAATCAGAAAAACTATCCTAAGACCTAGGAATTGTTAAACAATTATTGAGTAAGAAATTAAAGCAACTAAAACTCCCCTTTGATGATCCAAGCTCCTGCCATTATTGTTAAATTGGAAGATTATGAAACTCTAGCCTCGGTTTGCCATAAAAAATGCCATAATCAGAGCTCTGTTACGGTTTGCCATGGAAGAAGACGGTGACGAAACTGATTTCATTGTCTCACTCCTTCTGGTTCACTCGCCGTTGAGCTCTCTGGCACCTCTCCTCACGCTGGTTCTGTTGACGCCGAGAAGGAGAAGAAGATGATGGATGGTGTCGCCCTCTCCCCTGGTGCCGTCGGCCACACTTCTGGCCCTTCGTTCTGCTTCTTCGCCGTCGAGCTCTCTACCACCAGGAAGAAGTCGACGATGATGATGGTCTTGAATGGAGGTGGGAGAGGTGATGATGATGGATGGATGATTTCGCTTCTTCCCCGTCAAGCTCTGGACCTCACAATGTTTCTCCTTTGCTTTTTCGCCGCCCCCAACTAGCGTGTGTGTGTGTTTCATGTTTTTTTTCGTTCCGTCTTCAGCTACCGGATGAAGAAGATGAATATTAGGTTGGGGCAAAACGCAACATTTTGCCCCCCTATTATTATTAATTTTTTTCTTTCCTTTTTTTTTAATTTTAATTTTTGAATCTTCCAAGAACCTGCAAGCAAAATTCAAGGATAAGGTAGCATTAATTGTCCTCAAAAATCAATTAGTCACAATTAAACCAAAATATGACAATTTTGCCCCTATAAAATAATAATTCAAAATAAAATATATTAAATCAATGAACAATCAATCCAGGCAAAAGGGAATCAATTAAGTTGACAAAACCCATAAAAAAGATACCAAAATATATAAAAATAATTGAGTTTGTCAACTAGCCACAAAATTTTCCGACGGAAAAAATTCCGTGGCTAATTAGCAGCGGATTAAATTCCGTCTCTAATTCCGTGGCTAAGTTTAGCCACGAACTTTCATGGGTAATCTGTCAGAAATTAGCAACAAAAATTATTTCGTCACTAATTCTGCCGGTAATTAGCTGTTTTTTTATAGTGAGTATCTTGAACGGTATTGTCATTGGTAACAAGATACATGTGTTTAGCAAAATAAATAAATAAATAAATAACACACAAACATTATTATAATACGAGAAAGTGACTTCAGATTATTAAACCGCCCGAGTTTGACTAGTTTAGTGCAAAAAGCCAGCATTAAAGGAAACAAGCTAGTCAATTAGGGTATAATTCTTTTTGAGGTCCAGAAGTCAGTCAATTATAATTTAATTATGATAAAATAATACCTGCCGTCTGAATGATATATACATCAAGCACGAAGCAAAATAATTTAATACACACACACACATATGTAAAGAAAATATTCAAAGTTGCACAATTATCGACCTCGTCCTTAAAATCTAATATTTATCAATCAACTCCCCCAAATTTGTCTTAATTATCGATCTAGTCCCTCAAGTTTGTCGCAACTTCTAAAATGAAGGAAAACATACATAACGATAGAAGACTTGTTAGAGAAAGAGAGGGCGATGATGAAAAAGCATATTTGGTTTAAATGAAACATGCTCTAAGAAGGTTATAACAATTTAAACATAAAATTTCAACTTTGAATTTGTCTGAATATACAAATATTTTTGAGAGACTTATCTCGAATTAGACTCTGATAATGTTTGCATTTAATGCAAATAGTGCGGTGTCACATCCCAAACATTCTTACTTGGTTCTAGGGAATCAAAAATTGGGATGAGAGTCAATGTAGAAACTAGACGGGAAGATGGATCAACTTTTGATGTGAAACCCTGATAAGGTCCAGGCTGGCATTTTTATAACTATCGATCTAGGAAGGGCAAAATGGAAAAATTTGGAAAAAAATTTCAGAAAATCCCTGAAAAATGGGAAAAGTGTAGAGTAGAGATTTTAGAAACTTAGTTGAGGCCTGAAAGATGGAATTTCGGTGAAAATGATTTATTACTGAATTTCTCATAAACAAAGGTTTTTCAGGAAAATGTTGGAAAATCAGAGGAAAATAATTCTTTTAATTAGTTAGAGGCCTCAATATCTTTGGGAG